TTCAATAACAATATGGTTAAAATAGCATAATGAAAAATAAAAAGTCGATATAATGTATCGATAGATGATCTTTGCGTGTTTCAATTCGGGGAAGAATAGGGTGTGGGTGTGAGTGTGGGGTGTGGGTGGGTGTGGGTGTCTGTGTGGGGTGTGGGTGGGTGTGGGTGTCTGTGTGGGTGTGTGTGGGTGTGGATGTGGGTGGGTATGGGGGTGGGGGTGGGTGTGGGCATGAGTGTGGGTGCGGGTGCAAGTGTGGGTATGGGTGTGGGTGTGGGTGGGTATGGGGGTGAGGGTGGGGGTGGGAGTGAGGGTGGGGGTGGGGGGTAATCTTGTGTCAAGCAGCATCTACACCCACATCCGCACCCTCTAGCCACACTCACACCCACACCCCACACCCACACCCACACCCACATCCACCCACACACCACACCCACACCACATCCACCCACACCCACACCCACACCAACACCCACACCCACACACCACACCCACAGCCACACCCACCCACACCCACCCACACACCCACACCCACCGCATCCACCCACACACCCACACACCCACCCATTACACAGAACGATAAAAATAAAGCTAACATTACTATTATTATTACATAGCATATTATCCAACAATATATTGTTTTCTGTTTAGATGGCGCCTTTTTTAATTGATATCTTAAAACTTATGGTCAAAATCAAAGTGGAAAGTGGAAAAAATAAAGAATCATTTAATGGATGAAAGCACGTCCCCTGAAATGCTTTTTGAAAATTCAATCGATTAATCAATTATTAATTTTCTATCTTTTATCATTTTGTCGCATATTTGTTTTTCAGATAAACGTGAATAAACATTAACATTATTTCTATTCTCAAAACTGAAGAAATAAAATTATTTTAAAGAGAATTTTATTCATCCGACTACATTCTTTCAGGCAAAAAAATCTCAAGTTCATATGATATTTCATAGATTGAAAAAACAAGGCTTGACATTTGAATAATTAATTTTGTTTTATAGATTATAAATGCCATCGATTTCTTGGTAAATAAAGCCGGATGATATTGTCATCATATTCATCAACGAATCTGATATTGAAAACAATTCATCCTGTTTAAAATCATTAATACATACATCTGACTCAACCATTCAATGACATAGTAAGACAGTTTCATATAAAAACTATTTTAATTAATTATTGCCTCTCACATTTAGTCAACATCATCTCGAATTTCATCATCTGTCACCATCACACATTCATTCAACGACAAAAAAATTTTCAAATGAAAAATTAAATAAAGTACCATTTCTAACAAATCTACGTCGTTTAAATATTTTTAGTGTACTCAAAAAGTGAGTACACTACTAAAATCGGTCTGTGTGTCCGCCCGTTTACACGATAACTTTCGGAAGGAGAGTCAGATTGCGATGAAATTTTCTACACAGCTTAGTGTTGACAATATCTCGGTCGAGTTCGAAGATGAGAAGGATCCGTCATGAAATGGCTGAGTAATCGAAAAAATTGGGATTTTTGACCAGATCATCCCTAAAGACGGGGGGGGGAGGGTACGGGGATTTTTCGAAAAAACTTTTTTTGCTCATAATTATTCACAAAATACATAAATCGACTCAGTTTTTAACGCTGATTCTGAATCTGATATTAGTTTTGAACCGAATCATAGGTTTGTGTACTCAAAAAGTGAGTACACTATAGAATAGTCAGTGTGTCCGTCCGTCCGGTTGGCTGTTTACATGATAACTTTTGACAGCAGAGTCAGATTGCGATGAAACTTTCTACACAGCTTAGTCTTGACAATATCTCGGTCGAGTTGGAAGATGAGAAGGACCGACCGAGCCGTTCCTGAGTTATTACAAAAATACCCATTTTCCCTATAGCTTTCTGTGGAAAAATGGACCCATCGCGACTTTCGTAAAAGACTTTTCCTATCATAGTCAACTAAAACCCCAACTATTATATACCATTCGATAGAGGATTTCAAGAACTACAAAATGATATATAAAACATAAAGAAACAAGAACGTTGACTAACTCACACAGATAATTAAAGAGAACTAGGTTATATTTTGGTCCACGATCTAATTGATCCACAAATAGAGCTTTATCTTCCGGTCACACTGATGATACTTCGAGGTTTTCAGATATAGAGAACTCGAATGTGTACTGCACTTCCATCGAAATACTATTCGTTGTGCAGTGACCAATAGAAATGAAGTTATAGGGAAAACGACTTTCTTAGGGTAAATCAAGGGAAAGAGTTCAAACTTGAGCTGTATTCGGTCCCATGTTCTATTGGTTTGGCAACGCGCAATAGAAATCAACGTTTTAAATGGTAGATTTCACAGTATAATTTTGATATTCAGACAGTCTAGGATGATTGATTTGTATGATTCACTTTTTGAAGTACACATAACTCTCGGATTTAAATCCGAAGTTTTCGCATTTATTTTATTCTTCTGCATTTAGTGATCGATCACCAATGACATCGAATTTATCATCAAATATTATTTTCACGTCAGTTTATCGTTCCATTATGATCAAGAAATAGCTCATATTAAACCAGTTGATGACAAAGTAACAGAATTTTACATAGAAAATATTTAATTCATCATTTTCTCTTTTATTTAGTCAAGATTGTGATAAATTTCATCATCTCTCATACATAAAATCAATGTAAAGAAATTATGTTTAAATGTAACACCAAAAGAATTACCAATTCCAAGAAATTTTCGTTGTTCAAACATTCTTTACCCCTTTTTTTGCATTTAATGATCGATCACGCACGAATAACATCAAATTCATTAACAAATACTATTTGAATATCAACTCCTATTTTCTCTAATGACCAATAAATGATTAAAATTGAACCAGCTAATGACAAAGTAATAATATTCTACATAGGAAGTATTTTAGTTAATTGTTTTTTCTTTCTTTTAGTCAATATCGTGTTGTAATTCTAACATTTACCATAGGTAAAGTTAGTGAAGAAATGTTATTTTCATATATACAATTCAATCAAACATCAATTCTAACAAATCTTCATCATTCGAATATTGTTCATTCTATTGTATTTAATGATCGATCATGAATGATATCAAATTGATCAATACATACTGTTTTTAAAATTATTCATTCTTTCCGTAATCATCAATAAATAGTTCAAACTGAATCAGCTGATGAAAAAGTAACAGAATTTCATGTTTTATATTTCTTAATCGATCGTTCTCTTTCTTTTAGTCAATATCATATCCCATTCCAATACTTATTACATGTAAAATTAGTGTAGAATAAATATCTTCGGAGAAAGAATCAAATGAAGCACCAATTATGAAACATCAATTCTAATTAATCGTCTTCACATCTTTACTATTTAACGACAAAGTAAAAAAATTTAATGTAGGAAATATTTTAATTGATTGTTTTCGATTTTTCTGTTTTAGTCAACATCACGTAGAATATCATTATCTTTCATAGTTTAAGTCAATCAAAAACACATATTATTAGATGAAAAATCAAATGTAGTATCAATTACAGCAAGTTTTCATCAAACAAATATTATTCATTTTTGTTTAATTGATAATTCATTGATATTTATATAGAATCAATTAACAAATCCAATTGTAAAACCAATTCATCGTTTTCATAGTCATCAAAAAATAGTTCAGATTGAACCAGTTGATGATAAAGTAAGAAAATCACACACAGAAAATATGCAAGAAACCGGTAGCGATCATTTGTAATTAGGTTTCTAAGTTATGAAAGATTAGTTACATTGAAATATTCTACTATATTTGGCCAAAAGAAAAGATTATTTTCCTTTCCAACTGCGCAATAAAGACTTTTGTCATAGTTCTGGATGGATGATGCAATATCCTACATAAACATAAACGTGGAGAGAAAGAAAGAAGAGAAGAAGAAGAAGAAGAAGAAGAAGAAGAAGAAGAAGAAGAAGAGAGAGAGCGAGAAAAAAAGCATAACATCTAAACACAAGGTGTAACTGTGATATATTCTATAGGAGAATAGCGAATATGTCGAGTAATGGTTAGATTTAAAATATAATCGTATAAAAGAAAATTGTTTTTGTTCAGATAATCAACCTGAAATGAACAAATATGAAAGCTGTTATCGAATAACAGCTACATTAACTGATGAAAATCATTTTTTATCAACTATATCGTCAACATCTGCACGAAAAGCACTAACAACTGAATCATCTGATAAAACAGAAGCATAGATTAATTATAAATTTCCTTGAAAACAAGACTAAAAATTTTAAAATTTAGATTGAACAAATTGATATAATTCAAAATCATACAACACATTCTGATAAAATAACTAAATATCGTGAAGAATATGATGAAAAAATTCAAGAATTGGAATCACGTATTAAAGCAATTGAAGAATGGAAAGCAACACATGAAGGTTAGATTATCATTTTTGTTTCTTTAGAAATAATCTTCTTTTATTAGCAGGTGAAGTACGAAAAACCACGGAAATACAAAAAGTAGTATAGATTTCTTATTTTATTTGAAAAAACAAACACTTTTTTTTTGTTTTTTAAAATAAAAAGAATGAAGTTAATAAAGATCTTTTCTCACATAAACTTGAAAATAAAACATCACATACAAAAGATACTGATGAACAAGGTAATAATTTCAAATTAATTTAATTTAATTTGATTTAATTTAATTTGAATAATTTAGATGACCATGATGATCATTCAAGTCGTCTTATTGAAGAACAACACCGGAATTTAAATAATGATTCGTACATCTTGTTCGATAAAAAACAAGCTGAACAAATCGAATTATTAAATTCGACAATTATTGAACGTGATCGAAAAATGGTAGAATTATATGATAATGAAGTAAAACATCTTAATGAACAAGTAGAAAAAACATAATCGAAATTGGAATTAAAATCAGCTGAATGTTTACAACAACGTGATTTATTTAGTGCTGAAAAAAGAGAATTACAAAATGAAATTGAAGCAAATAAACAAAATGTTTGATTTTTTTTGTTTTTTTTTATTAAATAAAAATTTCTTTATTTTTGTTTTTTAGGTTTTACAATTTGAAGAACGTGAACGAAAATTAATAAATGAAATAGAACGATTACGTATACAATCATTAAAAATGAACCAATCTTATACAACACGTTTACATGATTCTGAAGAACAAGCAAGATCTTTAAGAGTCCGAGTATCACGACAACAAGACGAACTTGAGGAACAGGCAATAGTTATTGAACAATTTCTTACAGATGGAGATCGACCAAAAAAATTAATATCAGCTAATTTGGCTACATTAACACAGCAATATCAAAAACTTGAAGAAACCAACATAAACTTGACTAATCAATTAGTTTATGAAAAGAAACTTTCACGAGGTTTAATGTGCTTGTTAGACACAAATTTAAGAGGTAAAACAAATGAATTGATTTGTTATTTAATTTCTTTTTGGTTTTTAGCACGTGAACAAGCTTTAACAACAACCCAAACAACAACTGCTAATCCATTACCATCTAATATTCATAATTTAGGTCAACAACTTCAACCACCTAAAAATATTTCATATTATCCACAATTAATAACTGATGCATATATTGCCAAACAACTTGTTAAAGATTTATATTGTCATATTTTCGTGCACCGCTTCATCAAAAACAAGAAGTTATAACATCATTAAGTAAATTAGTTGGCTTTACACAAGATGAATATGAAGCTGCACTTCATAGCCAACTAACTAATACTAATAATAATGGAAAAAAAAGCCAGTTGGTTAAAACGTTTGCTTAGTCGTAATACATCACCAAGTATTAATTTAACTAAAACAAGAGAAGGTATTATTCCTGAACATCATCAATTAGCCATTCGAAATTATCAAGAATTAAATAAATTACGTGAAGATGTACCTATGGGTAAATGCTATTTCAATTCAATATTTATCTTTAATTAACGTATTCTTTTCTTTTTTTACATAGTGTGGGTGTGGGTGTGGATGTGGGTTTGGGTTGGGTGTGGGTGTGGGTGGTGGGTGTGGGTGTGGGTGTGGGTGGTGGGTGTGGGTTGGATGTGGGTTGGGTGTGGGTGTGGGTGTGGGTGGTGGGTGTGGGTTGGGTGTGGGGGTGGGTGGTGGGTGTGGGTGTGGGTGTCTGAAGGAACAATACTCACACCCACCCACACTCACACCCACCCACACTCACACCCACACACCCCACACCCAAACACCCACACACACCCCCACACC